CCTAGTGGGGCTCCAAGAGACAATAATTAAAAACAGTGGAAATGCACTAAGGTGCTAAGAGCACTTGGTATTACATTGCTGTATCACCAGGATGCTCAGGAGGAAACAGTCTCAAACAGGGGAAAATTAGCAGAACTCTGCAATGCTACTGTAAAAAAAAAATCAGTGCCTCAAAGCTTCACATTGCACACCCACAGTATGGCATGGTAAAGGCAGTCACTCAGGCAGATAACATCATATACAGTAACTGGTCAGTGAAGGACCTTCCTCCAAAGACTGTGCTTTGAAATACCACTAAATTCTATTAAATGTTCCAGGAATGATCAGACAAGATGGCATTACACTGTCCCAACACAATAGGCTTTCCATAAACACTAAAGGTAGCACACTTTTAAGGAAAAATAAAGACCAAGACTTCATTTTCAAAGGCTTCCTGGAAAATAAACCAGAGAGAAGTAGCTTAAACAATATCCTAATCTATTTTAACCAAATGCATTAGACAGGCGAGTAAGCACATACTACATTTACGCAGCAAAACTGTTGTTCCACGCCTTTATTCTGATTACACTTCTTAAATTAAGCCCTTGTATTAATTCCAATCTGTGAAATATACATGTGCATTAATCCATGCCAACATTTATAATAGCTATTAAGTTTATTCTAGATTATATTACTTGTACCTACACATTTATATCCTGCCCTGTGGGTTTACTTAACATTGACCAAGAGACTCCTGCCCATTTTAAAAAAAACATACATTCTTGATGTAATAATCTATGTTAAGAGACTAAAGAAAATAGATTCAACACAAATAAGCGATATTCTGATACCAAATCTTTTTGGAAATTCCACAAATAGTGTCCAAATTCTGCTGACCTCGCTCGTGTGGAACAGTACCCTGATAAGCAATTACAATAAAGTCAACCCTGCTGAAAAAAAAAGATCAAGTCAATAAGCCTGAGGGGGAATATAATCTTTGAGCAAATCTGTGTAGGTGTACATTTTCTCCAGTTGTGACAAGTGTGTACGAGCAACTGTAGAAATAACCAGGAGCAATGGGATTAAAATTAGGAAAAAACAAAGTTAGGCTTGATAGCACCATAGTTTTAGTAAACATCCAGTCTAATTTAGATATTCTTAAAGCCTTTGCTTCCCAGATAAGTATTCATTATTCTTAGGCACTTCCTGGGCTCAAGTGTGCATTTTCAAGTACAGGTTTGGGCATATGGCTTGAGTCCTTATCATCCTTAATAATTTAAAACACTCTAATACAGTATAATTACACACATAACTTTTGTATGAAGCCATCATGTAATGAAAGGTGCTGGATGGCATGTGCAAGGTCAGAAAAATTACATGCTTACATACTGCTTGTTGTATTTTGTAGACAGGGAGTAGGTAGTACCAACTCTGATTAAGTTTGTCTATAATTTCTTATTCATCCAACTTCAAAAAGTTTATTTCAAAACTTTCCAGATTATCACCCGCCTACACTGCTATTTTTGAGGGAATTTCCTGATCCAGACATTAGAGGGAAAGATGACAGGAAAAAATACTTTGTGGGCCCCAAGAAAATCTGCTTCCATTCAGTGAAGTTATAATTGAAAACCTGCTGTTTGCATAGACTCAGAAGAGAACACTTTGAATTTAACAAATAATGTCTCCTTATCCATTTGGATCTGAGCACGACTTTTTCAACACTTTTAGCTCTTTATTACAGTCAGCTGTTGCAGGAAGAAGAATTTAAACTTAAGGGAGGTGAGTTAAGAATCAAATGGGGAACAAAAAGCATGACTGAGGTCAGAGTGAGAAAAGAGGGGGATTAACTTGGTAGCTGGAAAATAAAGGAGCTTAATTTTACAGAAGATAGTGTCAGAGGTAGAACAGACAGATGGTTAAAGCCACCCAAAACTATCTCTGCACTAGTATCCAAGTAATTATCATTATTATAGTGTCAAATAGTAACTACACGTGTATTTTATATTTCTGAGATATTTATTTGGGCTACTCGTGACTCTATCTCAAATTTGGTAAATTCAGAGCTCCAAAGGAAGACACTTTATTATGTTTTGAACATTTATAGTGCTGTTTTCCAAATTCAGGTCCCAAGCATCTTAAAATGAGATTTGTTTCTATCACTCGCCTTTCTGGGATTGGCAGAATCATACTGCTGAAATGTTACTGAGTGCCAAAGGGAAAGAACATCTTCCATACTGTGCTTGTTTCCTGCGATAGGAACAATAACGTACCATAATGTCAGAGGTACCCACTTCTGAGTGACACAGATAACAGCTTCCAGCACAAGGCTTTTGAGGAAAATCTTAACTGCTCCCTTGAGAACAGAGGCCCAAACACAACAATGTTTATAGCATTTAATAACATTTAAAGCCAGAATGACCCACACCATTATCCTGCCTGCCTTTCTGCATAACACAAACCATAAAATTGCACTGAGCTCCCAAAGTTTGGTTAAAGTAGAAGCATTCACAGCACATAGTTATGCATGTGCTGACAGGTAATTTTCCTCCCTGCATTTTCTAATGTGTCTTTTGTTCTCCATCAGTATCCTAACTTCTACAGAAATCCTGTAAATGGGGACAGAGACTGTACACAAAGACCTCAAAAGAAAGATATTAGTTTCTAGAACTTAAAGTAAACTCCACATCTTGAAGGACAAACCTCCTCATACAAACTTTCTAACATATCAGTTGTGAAATCCTAGAGACCTTGGCCAAGAGTTTTCACTAAATGATATGCTGGTTTTCTTTTGAATGCTTGCAATTAAACTAATTACAATAATTTAACAACTAAGAAATATAGGAAGAGATTTGGAGGAACTGTATCTACAGAAGGATGAAACACTCTCTCTGAGGGTGACCATGCGCAGATTGCCCCGAGAGGTTGTGGAATCTCCATCCTTGGAAGATGTTCAAAAGCAATCTGAACATAGTCCCTCCTGGGCAGCTGTCTTTAGGCGACCCTGCTTGAGCAGGGAGGTTGGACTAGGTGACCTCCAGTGGTTCCTTCTGTGATATCTGAGATTTAACCTTTCCCCACCTGCTGTTGCAAGAACTGAGGTCAGCTGCAGTGTCTTTTTTCACATCTCTAGACTGAAATACTTCCCCAAAAGGTAAGTGAAGCAGTGCAAAGTGTTTGCTAATTTTCTCAAGTAGTTATTATTTACATTTATGTTTATGTAGGTGTATCATATCACTGCAAGTAAATTAAGGTTTATACAACATTTTTAAGATATAAGGCATTTGTGTGCCTTTGTATTCACTCAGGTACAGTTTTTCGTGCATGATAAAAACAATTCACTGCCTTTTTTAAGGTTAGTACTCAAAATCCAGCCCTCATGTACTTTTTATTCATTTGAGTTGATTGTACTTTAGCTTCTTTATGGACTCTTTAAAATATGCACTAATAAAATCTTATTAGCCTTTTATTATCAACTGTCTCAACATACAAATATTGGAAGCTGCAGGGATTTTCTGGTCATTGCAAGCATGACTCTAGATTAACTAGCAATCAATGCATTTGTTATACTGTCTCTGGCAATTGATGTTTCTGAAAAGGTAACAAATTTTTAGCATCATTCAGGCAATTTGCAGAGATAATTCTGCCTTTAAGGGCACTCCTTTATTTATTTCAATACAACATAGGAATGAAGTCAATCTGGATAAGGTGCTATGATTTACTAACACCTCCGTTTAGCTGATGTTCCACAGCTGGCTGGGCAAAAATTCTATGCTAGAAACACACACAGTATTTAGGACCTTAACTTGCCATAAATTCTTTGAAGTCAATAGGTAGGATTTAAAAATCAATGGAAGGATATGGCTCAAAAGTGCTTCTTCCAAAGCTATAATGGTACAAATATTATCACTGAGCACTCACTTATACATAAGATCTGAACACTGAAATAAAAGCCTACAAAAGATATATACATGTGTGAGATGACATTGAAATCAATGCATTTAAGTCCCTAAATAGCTCATCTGATTAATCTCACCAACAAGAACATCTGAATGTCTCTAGAATACAGCAATGCTTTCCTGGTGGAGTACTTTGAAGTGTGCTATTTTAGAAGTTGTTATAGAAGGACATTGTGAGAAAACAAGATAAATGTTTTAGTGAGGAATTACATGGTTGAGAAATTATACATGAGGGATACTCCTCCCAGTAGATTTCACTGATTTTGCATGAGTACACTTTGGTTACGTTATATGTGGGTTTGGTGAAACAGAAATTTTAAGGATGAGGAAGCAGTTGTTAAATTTACCTGACAAAGAAGGCATTAATCTCTATTTTTGTTCTCCTAATGGTACCTGACATTATATCTTTTAAGACCACAGGCTTTGGCTCCACAGTGAGTCAACACGAAGGAAAATATTTGACTACATGAACTGTTAGAAGAACAGTCCTTATTACAAATATCATTCAAATGCAGTATGAACCGTACCTCCCCAAATTCTATCAAAAAATAAACACACAACTCAAAGGTGGATATTCCAACCACTTAAGTATTACAATAATCAAAAGTATGCAAAGAAGGGGATGAATAAACATCATAAACACTGTTACTCTTCAGAAGTCAAATTCTCTCTGCAGTAAACAGAATTGGTAGCAAAATAATCATCATTAACTCTTGCTTATCAGATGCCAAGGAAAGCTAGAAGATAATCATGTCTAAGTTCATGCAGTCACACTGACTGGTGTTGAACAATACCCACTGCAGCGGTAGCTGTACAACTGCCCAGCTCTGCCTCTGGTAAGACCTGGGGTGTTTTGTCCATTGTAAGATAATAACTTGCAAAGAAATGCACAGATACATGTACCCAGTCGTGGGTCATTGCTTATAGAGGCCTGTTTGCCAATGACTTTGGAAAGAGAAACCCAGATCTGTAAACAACTCTTATTGCTTGCTATGTGAACTTTCAAAAGTCTTTCATCAAGTTGTGCACTTTGAAATTTTCCAGAAGGCAATTTTTAGACATTAATACAGACACTTTTTCCATTTTTATTGCAACCTGAAATGTTCCTTTAATAATTTCCATGGTAAAACGGGTAACAATACATTTAACATTTCCATTAAATAAATTATATTTCAATTCTAAGTATCTATATAAAATTAATTTTTTAAGCTCTAACCCCAGAATCATCTGAGATTGTAAAACTCTAAACCCAACAGGGCTTAACAATTTCCATTGTTTACATTATTAAGACCTGCAGTTCTCAAATGTGTATATCCCCTCAGAGGACACTGAACCTCCTGATCCTTTCATTCACAGATTACTTTGGCCAAAAAGTAATGGTATCATTAGAGCCTTCATACAGGGCTCCCCCCAGTGCAAAGCAGCTCTGAGTTTTAGCCCTGCAACATGCTTCACCAGCTTGTGCCTCCAGAGTGGAATTCCTGGCTCTACAGCAGGTTCTACAGCATTTATGTTTTGCTTGTGCTTTTTGACAACAATCCAGTTGCTATATGGCAGGCCTGGAATAGTGGGTGGTGTGTCTGAGTGATGGAATCCCAAAACTGTTTCCAGGACTTGGAGGTCTTGTTTTCATTTAAAGCTCTCTGGAAATTTAGAGAGACCTTGAAGTGGGCTGTTTTGGTAATGTATAAGCTTATAAGGCCTGTAGCCTTATAAGACTAGGCAGTTCTTTTATTTAAAATAAAGATTGAAAGTATTCTTGTGCAAGTGTAACTGTTGATTCCAACTTTTCAAATCATTTGAAACCATCGCAAAAATTTTCTCTCCAAGAAACATTAGAGAAAACAACTCTTTATTTTCATACAGAAATGGAATAATAAAAGTTTATCTGTATTCTCAGAATTGAGGTATTTATTGTTCCACAGGAGTAAAGATGTTGGATTGCACCGGTAAAGGTGTTTTGTGCATTTTTACTCTGGTGCTGGACAATTGAGGAAACGCCACATCCTTCAACTACTTACTCTGAACCGAGCAAGGAAGAAGATGAGCTTGCTGAAGAAGTTAAGAAACACAAGAGTATACTTAAGTCAGATTTTTCTGACAGAGCAGGGATGGAAAGCTCACCCGGGTGAGACAGCTGGGGTGTCTCAGAACCAGGTCTTCAGCGCGTTGCAGGATGTGCTTGTTACTTCGCAAGATTGAGATCTGAGTCATAAAAACATATTTTACATATAAAAATACAGCAGATGTCCTTCCAAAAAATCCTATCTTAAGTGTTATTCCCTCTCATTATGTTTTGTACATTCAGGAACAGACATTTGAGATATACTGTGAACAGTGCAAAAGACTGCTTTATATTTATAAAACCACGCTCTGCAGTACCTTTAAGCGACAACTGAAGGAAAAGTTGAGAAATGTGTCATCCTCAGAGCAATTCTGGTCCAAGTCGAACTTTTGTTTAGCAAGTTGTAAACAAATGTCTTAGAATGCAGAGAATCCTCTCATTTCGTTCCAGCTAAGGTAGTCTCAAACACATCAAGTCCTGCTTTGAAGTAAACCTGAGCTGAATTGATGCTGTTCAGCACCTCTGACAAGGCTGTTTGAATGGTCTCATTTGACTGATGCAGTTTGCAGTGCTCCAGTGCCTCCAGCAGTACTGAAAACTGGCTGGTCCTTTCATCCATTCTGTAAAGAATATTTCTAGAAGAGAACAATGGAGAGAATGGTAAACTTTTTACTCAAAACAGTTCATCAGAAGCCATCAAGAAACCCTGCAAGTATCATCCACACTTTATGGATGATACATATTATGCACAGTAAACCTGACCCATGGCAAAGTGAAAGACAACTGCATATTTATTATACCTTGTTCACTGAACTACGTGTACATACATTGAAACAGTCACTAAATCCATCAAAGAAATCTCACATTCTTCTTTGACCTTCCAAGATTTTATTCAAAAGCATGAGCTTACACCTATCACATCCCTCATGAAGGATTTTGTGTCTCAGCTGGATTCCATTTATTCCCCTCTAAAAAAAAAGTTTGTTTATTGCTGTGAACCCTCAGCATAGGTTTGGGCTTTTTGTTGTTTTTCCTGTCTGTTCCTGTTATTTATTTCCCACTTCAGAGGTGAAATTCCAGCTACACTGAAGTCAATGGTGAAACTCTCATTGCCTTCAGCAGAGCCTTTATTTCATCAATAATCCTTTGTGGCATCAGAACAAGAGCAACCCATCTTTAATGGTACACACTCGAGGAAGGAAATAAACAGCAGACACAGCTATACCCTTGTGAAACAAAATCTGTGTTTTCCTAGAATATCTGAAAAACTTTTTAATGGTTTATAGAAAAACACATGCAAGAGTGTTGTCTGATCCCTTGGAAATGTTATCTGTATGAGGTGTGGAAGGCTCAGAATTCAAAGCTAGTCAGTGATTTTAATGAGACTCTTTGAAGCAGGCTATAAATGTTATCCAAAACCAGGTGTAATCATTATTTTAATTAGAAGAGCATATAAATATCATAAATCTCCACCCAGGAGCTCCTTTGACTGTAAACAGAAATGAGTGAAATTTGAAACAGGAAAGCTACAGTGATTTGGTGCAGGACCTTATCTTTAAATACAAGGCAGGTGTTCAGGGCAGGGGAGAAGTTGATTCATGGAATGAAACCAGCAAGAAACAAGACAACTTACATACTTTGTTAGTAACCTAATTGTGTGACAGAACAGGCCAAATGGCAACTCCAAATTAGTAATAAAACTGTCAAGTACCTACAAGACAGATGACCACAAAAGGACAGTTTATTATTATAGGAATCACCTAACTGCCAGTCTGCCAGGGGGAAAGGTAACAAAGTAACCCTATAAATGACAGCACAGAACACCTACAATCTTCTGCCATGATTTTCAGTTAAAAAAAAAAATGTTTTGAATCAGAGGCAGTGTTTTTCAAAGATAGGAAATAACTCCTATCCTCATAAGACAATTTTACATCTCACATAAGACAATGCCAGGAAAACAGGAAACCCAGCAATGTGCAATAGAAAAGGTGAGCTTTTCATCCCCTGACAGCAATACATCCATTTCAAGCGTTCTGCAATGCAACACATTGCAGCTTTAAACAGAGGAGGGAAAGGGGTTGAATCCAACACAGCAGCAGCAGGACAGCTTACACAGTTTAAACAATAGGTCATTATTGACCTACATCATTCAGACTGAAACAGGTTAGAAGCACTTCCAGGAACAGCTCAGCAGGGACAGGAATTTCCATCAGGAGGACTGTTAACAGGCAGATGTGGCAATAACTTCCTCAGCTTGCACTGCTGTTCCTTAGCTCTTAGCTGATGCTGCTGTTCCTCACACTATGATGCATCAAAGGTGACTCAAGTTATATCGTGGACTGTCCCAAAGCAGTCCCTGTGATATAGTAAATGAAAACTCCATATGTTGAGAACCAGACAAATTCCTGGTTGGTTGGTTTTTAAGGATAGGCTGTGCTATGGAAAATACTGTATTTTTCAAAGCAGGGATTGATTTTGCTCCCTCTGAAATCAGTTCAGGGATTCCTGCTGAGATCAGTGCAAGCAGAACCAGGCTTTTGAAGAACTTTCCTCTATAGTTCCTGTAGTTCATAGGGAGAAAGAAGCCTGTTCACAACCTCTCAAACACCTTGAAGAGCAAGGACAGTGTTAGAAATAATCACATTACTTTCTACTCTTAGGAGAGATCTGGTTGCTGGTGGCTGGGAGAGTTTGACTGAGCTGGAATTCTACTCCAAATGCCTACAATACTGGCTCCCTGATCTACATTAGGATTTCTCTATTCCTTTATTGGGGTAATGTCAACTAATAAAAACATCAGAAGATGATAACCTTCAGCAGAATAACACTAACTTAGACTGCTAGAAATCAGACTATAAAAGAGAGGATGGTCTGAACACTGGAACTTTTTGGGACTGCTGAGACATTTGTGGTGAATAGGAACAGGTCTTCTCCTGCCCCATCTTCAAATGTGCTCCAAACAAGGCACACAGGCTAAAAAGATGGTTTGCCTTGACACATAAGGATGTTAATACAGTTTAAATTTACTGCTGTGATTTTGGAATCACAAGTGATTCCACAGTAAAGGCACGGGCAAGTGATCCACTGTAAAAGACAGGTATTCCTAGCCCTTCCCACCTGAGTGTGGTGCAAATTAGTGTCTGATGAGAAAAGCTTAGTGGTTTGATGAATGACAGAGACAAGCAGTCTGCTGTCACAGTTTAAATAATATTTTAACTTTTGCTATAGTAATATGACTTCAGCATAGCTGATTGAATGGTATGACAGAACCTACTTTTTTAATGTATGCAAATAATAGTAAGTGACATTATACAGCACCTGTTTTTTTGAATTTTCTGCTAGAAGTTCTGACTGGGATCTTATATTTTCCAATTACTTATCATTGCTTGGCAAGCCATGCCACTCCTTTGTTGCATAAAATGATTTCTCTCTTTATGCATGTTCATGAGAAACAATTTATACAAGTTTACTTCTTATCTCTGTCCAAGCTTCATCAAATGAAAAAAAAATGGTCAGTCCAGTTTATTAATTCCAAGCCTTTACAAGTCAGAAAAGTGTTTTCATTAAAGATTACACAGGGACTGAAAAATAAACCCCAGTCATTTCACTGGCACAAGATATCACTATGTGCCCACAACATCCATAATGATAGCAAGAGACTTTAATTTATACTGTGAAATTCAATTACTTAAACATTCCTTAACACAAATTGGTTTTGTAGCCTACACCTCTAAAACAACAATTCCAGTCTCTGGTCTAATTGCTTAAGTATCTACCTTCATCTTTAACTATTTTGATCTTCCAAATATAATTCACACAGTCAGTCTGACCCACACAAAACAAAAAGAGACTCCCAAACAAAAAACTGCAATACATTATTGATGAGACTAATGAAATTACAACACACATCATTCATCTTAATGGACTTGTTTCTATGACACATTGCAGTGACCTGAAAAGTGTAATGCTGAAGCAGGAAACGTAAGTAATAACTTTAGGCAGTACCACTGAAAGAGGTAAAATGTCTCCAAACGAAAGAACCAGCCTTAGCAAAGTGAAGCAAAGAAACTGTAACACTGAACTCTAACAGAGCCTCTTCTAAAACTTTTATGAGCCCTTTCAGACCTAGGAACATAAGCATTACTGATCAAAATAATGCCATTAAATGCTGTTCTACATTATCACAAATAAGGAGGTAATGTCATTCCCACCAGGCCAGAATGAATTTGAAAACTTCTTGAAATGACAGATCACACTAAAAATTTGATTTTAACACGACTTCAAACTATTTTGGAGGTTATAGTAGAACAACTGGATGGTACAGGATAAAACTAGATTATTACATTATTCTTGTCATGAAAAAGGATTTTTTACTTTATAAGAAAAGTTTGTCTGCAGGTAATGTGCAACACAAGCTCAATTATTCAGGTACTTACAAGCAGACTCCCATCTAAGAGCCTACATTTGAGATTTTGAAAATTAATTATTAAATCATTAGGACATGATGGCAAGTACACTGTCCCACAAGAAATGAGGGCAGGTTTTCTCTTTGGAATCACATTAGAATTGTTTGCAGGTAAATGCTATGGGCAGCCTCTGCCTATTCCAGTTAAAACACAATGTGCTATGACTTCAGCATCCTCACAAACTCAATTTTATAAATCCTTAAATTGTTTCTTCTTATACTCTCCACAAAAGAAAAACCACACCAGAACAAGGATTCTCTGAATTTCACTTTCTTGTGATACTGTTCAATTTTGAATGGACTTTTCTTACATCTACGAGTTTGTTTTCATTCATGTTTGTAAAACATAAAATATTATTACCTTGGTAAATAAACAAATGTATTCTAATAACAATATTTACATTTTGGAACTTCCACTTCCACAGGGTGTTTATTTACTGTAGGACATAAAAATATTATAAATTCTTCTTCCCTGAAAACAGCATGAGCTGATTTATAACCATTTATTTACACTTGTTTGCACCTAAGAAAATTTTATGATGATGGTACAGAAAGTTTCCCTTCTTCCTCTGGGTTCCTTATCCTTTCCATCTCCAACAGTTCTTCTCCTTTCCTCTCTTCTTATTTTCTAAACTTTTTGACACCCATATGCAGTTATATTATCTGTTTTATTTCACAGCACTATTGTGGCAGAAGGTTTATAATTATAAAATTAGAGACCAGGAGAAAATATTCTCCCTTGTAAATTGTCATTATGTGTCCTTAGATCTGCTAATGTCACTATCCTTCACTGTCTTAAGTTCCCAAAAACTCAGCACATCATATTTAAGGATCCTTTATTTCTAATATGTTGTTCCTAACTTTTGTTTGCTACACATCCTATCCTTTTTAAAGAACCATCAACTGCCTTCCCTTAGTGTCCTCGTCTACAGGCTGCAAACTGTTCTACCAATATATATCCCAGAAAGTGACGTATTAAAATCATGTACACTCAGAGGTGAGTGTCTGCCTGAAAAGTATGTATTTGCATGTTATCAGCAGTTGATAAGCTAAAGGTAATCTAGATATCAAACCTAAATAAGGTCTAACCAACTGAAAGGCATTTCAAAGGCATTGTTATGTGACAGTGGCAAACCAGATAAATTCATTCCCTGCTAGACAGAAATTTAT